TCGAGGTGAGCAGTGACAAAGCTATCCATCAATGTCCAGGCCATGGAAACCTGGATCAACCTGTCAGCTGTTATCTCAAAAGGTGGCACTTTTTGAACAAGCAAGAGAACAGAGTTTTATCTTCACCCTGAGAAGGTCAATAGTAAAGCCAAGGAGGGCTGTATCTAGAGAAAGGGACCAGAGTTGTACAAGCCACAAGACTGAACACTGGATTGGTGACACCTAGTCATTAAAAGCCAACCAAAATATCCCAGCAAATCCAGGAACAGAGATTTCTAAAGTGACAGTAATGAATCAGCAAGTACCTTTCAGAAAAGTACAGTGAATTTCCCCAAACCAGCTTTAGCTGATGCAGGTGATCACATCACTTTTGGCCAATCTGAAATAGCCAAAAGCTCTTGCACAAAGCATGAAGGACATTCCCACCACTTCTGCACACCTGATTTTTCATTTTTAGACAGTTTTAAAGGCAACTCACTAGAACCTGGATTCCTTCTTTCTCGATAGGAGCTTGATCATAAGTGGCATCACAAACTCGAACCAAGGTAGTCACTCCATACTTCTTCAGCTCCTTTAAGGAAAAGGAAAACACGTGAGCACACTGACAGAGCAAAGAATTAAGGAACTTAGTACTAAGAACTTAGAACTAAGGAACTTTCTCATCAACTAAACATTTGACACAGAGTCAAGGTGACCACACAACGAAGGAGCAAGGGCCAGCTGAGAAAGGGGAGTTTATAGCCTCCTTCAGGACAAGGATTACAAGTGAGGAACAAGTACAAAATACCTCTCAATTCTTCCTCTCTAGGGAAATGCCAAGGTGGGAAAAAAAATGCATATATAAAAGCAAAATTCAAACAGCTGCTTATATCCTCCATGCAGCTTCTTCTCTTTAAATAGAAGCCTGGATCTGTTTGCTTCAGCCTGTGTTGACATTTTGAGGCAGGGAGGAACAGAACACACACACCACCATACTCCAGCTTCCTTGTAATGCACTATAAGTAGCACAGTGTGCTAGATAAATAATCAGAAGATCAAACAACAGCTGTTCAAGTTCATTTTGAAGGTTCATACAGCAAGTAGAATTTCCTCTCATGTTTGGACTGCATCACTATAACTTCTAACAATTAGCAATAGTATCTATTTCAGAGTCAAGACTTCTGGAAAAGGAAGACAATCCACAATAATGGGGAAAAAAAATCTATATAAAGAGCAAAAGAACGTGGCTTTCAGGCAAAATTAACCACTAATATGTGAGCAGACTCGTGGTGAAGAGCACACTGCTAAATGATGGAAGTCTGTTAATAGCCACAGTCTGACATCAGTATCAGATGACAGGATCTCTTTGGAATGAAAAAGACCTGCATGCACAAGATAAAAATAAGGGTACAAAGGGTTTGGGGCAAACTAGAATGCAGAAATACACTGTACTGCTCTGATGATCCCATCTGTTACTTTTTCAGAAAACTGAGTATTAAATTTTGCAGTGTTTAAGATCTTATTGTGTCAACAATGGTGTGATCCACTGCCCATCATAATTCTCTTCCCACAGTTGGACCCAGGTAAATGTGATTTTTCATGGTAAATTCTGGCACCTGAAATCTCTGGCAATTTTGGGATTGGCAGGGCAGTTTGAGAACACATCCTGTGAACTACAACACCAGTTTAAATACTGCACCTCATCGTACTCGAAGGGAGAAGAAAGGATGATAAGACAGAAACCAGATGTAATTCTGTTAATTACTTCTTTAGAAGCCAAAAGATGAGCAATAGATTGATATATTAGAAGCACTACATTATTTAATGAAAAATAACATTCAGAACCACAGAACATGCAGTCCTTCAGAAATCAGGACACAAATGATAACAAGGGTGTGTGTTCTTATTCTAAAATAGAAGCTCATCCAGCCTCTTGCAATTAGAGAAATGCAGGACTCTGGAAAAAGTAATTGGTGGCTTCTCTTCTCAGACTGTCAGGAGAATGTGAACAGGATATTAAAGATAAAAACACCTTAAGTTTCAAGTAACATAGAGCCAGAGCATTGAGCAACAGGTGTGAAGAATGACTGTTCAGTGCATCCACAGAAATTATGAGCATATAAGGAAAGAAGGAGGACACTTTATTTGACTGCCTTACCTCTATGAACTTGCTGAGGGTTGCATTGGTTGGGTTGTGAGTGATCAGGAAACGCATATTCTCATAACTAATTTCCACGGGGGCTGGACGGTTCATAATGGCAAAAAAAATGTGTCAGGGGCCAAAAAAAAAATTAAAAAAAAAAAAATCAATAACCTTGGAAACGTTTCACAGCAGAAAACATTAAAAAGACCACTAAAATGCCTGGGATTGATCAGAGCTTGCTTTGACGTGTTTGTTCCTTAAAGAATTCGCTTCTAGAAAAGCAGGTTTGCTTCAGAATCCACTTGAATTCAACTTCGGCCTCAATTACTGCAGGTGGTATCCTTCAGACTCCAAAAACTCTGACTACATGCAAGACTAGGCAGCCTGTTCTACATTTAGGCACTGGTGAGGCAAAAAAGTAAGGGCAGATTTTCTCTCCACTTTGTTTTCTTGATGCTTAGTTTTGCTAGAGTCAGTAAAAGGAATATGCTTCCAATGTGCAGGAGATATCCCATATATTTGAGTGTGTTCGCTGTGTCTGGAGTCTTCAAGGCAAAGTAATTATGGCACGTAGAACCCCCTGCTCTCAGCTCACTTGTCAGCCAGGATGCTGTGCTGGGCCTGGCAGAAGTCTGCCCTCACACTCAGAATCGCCATAAATGTGCGACGTATATTCCAACAGAACACCTGAAAAGAAGAAAAAAAGAGCTTGTCAGAGGAATTGTTGCTTCTACTTCCAAAAAAACACCCAATATTAACCCTCTTAGAGAAACTCAGACTAGATAAGACTATGTTTAAAGCAAACAAACAAACAAAAATCAATCTTTTCCTGCAGTCCTGATAGTTGTAATCCCCAATATTCTTCCGGCACTGAGAACACTCCAGCCCTGAGACACGGGACTTCTTGTAAGTGCTGTTCCTGGCAGGCAGGCACCGGAACGGAGAACAAGGAAACCTTTCTGTGCTCCTGCAGCCCCTCCCTCCCAACCAGGTGCCCTAAAACAGAAGAAAATAGCAGAAAGCCAATTACACCCTTGAAAGTGTCTGCTGGTACAGTCATACCTGTTTGGCTTGAACCCAAATATGTACAAAACAGTGTTGGTACGGGTTTAATTGCTGAACAAAATAAGTATTACAGGCAGAAATAAGAGTATAACTGTCATATAAGACTTTTCTTAGGGACAACTAATGACAAAAAAAGGGGAAATGGGTTTAAACTGAAAGAGGAGAGTTTAGATGAGATATTAGGAAGAAGTTCTTCACTGTGAGGGTGGTCAGACACTGGAACAGGTTGGCCAAGGAAGTTGTAGATGCCCCCTCCCTGGAAGTGTTGAAGGCCAGGCTGAATGAGGCTTTGAGCAACCTGGTCTAGTGGAAGGTGTCCCTGCTGCTGGCAGGGGGGTTGGGACTGGATGAGCTTTAAGGTCCCTTCCAATCCAAACCATTCTAGGATTCTATGATTCTATATATTTGAGCTTTTGCTAGCAGATAAATTTTTGCCAACACTGTTGTATCACCAAACTCCCAACAGCAGCAGGGAGATATCCCTCCAGAAATCAGTCATTTCAAAAGCAACTAAATGGGCATTTAGCAGTAATAATTTGTAGTTATTCCCAGTCTTATCTGTATTTACAGACTAGGGAATTAAGACACAGGCAGCCTCCAGTCCTAACACACAGGATTCAAAATACAGATGTTTTAATAACAAGAATAAAAGATGGAAAATAGAATTCTACCATGAAGTTGAGGGGGATGAAAATGGAGCTAACCTCAACTAGCTCAATTCATTTAAGGCTGAAATACTAAATAAGTGTTTTCACTGCATTTTAAAAGCATGAAGCCAAAGAATCACTACTGATGCTTCTTTTTTTAAGGAAGATGTTTTAAATCAGTGGAATAAACTCTGAACCAGCAGCCAGAAGTCACAAACCTGCAACTCAAGCAGAAAGGTCAACGTGGCACACTCCAGTGAATACAATTAGGGAAAAACACACACGCACATGGAAGTTCACACTCCAAACTTCTGGTGGGCTCAACATCTTAATGAGATCCTCACTTTAAAACAGTCAAATTAAGAACTACAAAATTACCTTTTTCACTGACATGAAGTCAAAAAATCACCCACAAAGAGCGGCAATTATTTCCTTAAAGAACAGCTTTCAATGCCCCCAAAAATACATTAATTAGGTTGGCAGAGCAAGAACAAAGATGTTTTCAATAACCTCCCCCGACCTTAATGCAGTTCTTACTCTGAGTGACTGAAATATGAATTTCAAAAATGAAACTTGGAATATTTTATCAGTGTAATGACTACAGGATTAAATCTCAGCCCAGATGGAAGAGCCCCATCTCAACACATCACACTCAAGTCCTTACACTTGTCAATTCCTGTGCATTTGTCACAACTCTCTCATATATACACACACCACTGAAACTCAAAGCAAAGGATTTGTTAAAATGTATTTCAGTCTGCTGCTGCTGCTGTGATGTACCAGGAACAGAATGACTGAAGTTACAGCATCCACACGTGTCCAACACCTGTAAAACTTGATGCAAGGAAGTCTTTTTTTCAGGCAAATAGTGGTCTGGTTTTCCCCACTTTGACCACACACTCCAGTCATCTGTCACGTCCTGGACAGTGAGCTGCAGATTGACATCACAGGAAGAGTTTCAAAACTTCTGAGGATCTAACAAGGTCATTTAAATAGAATCATAGAATGGTTTGGGCTGGAAGGGACCTTAAAGCTCATCCAGTCCCAACCCCCCTGCCAGCAGCAGGGACACCTTCCACTAGACCAGGTTGCTCAAAGCCTCATCCAGCCTGGCCGAGAACACTTCCAGGGAGGAGCAGCCACAGCTTCTCTGGGCAACCTGTTCCAGTGTCTGACCACCCTCACAGTGAAGAACTTCTTCCTAATATCTCATCTAAACCTCCCCTCTTTCAGCTTAAACCCATTTCCCCTTGTTCTGTCATTAGTTGTCGTTATGAAAAGTCCTTCCCCAGCTTTAAATAAAAACAGTGCTCATCAGATCCTGGCACAGGAGATCAAAACTTGGATCCAGAGTACCAGAGGCTTACAGCATTACAAAATACACTGTCGCAAGGGGAAGAGCTATTGTGACATATTTAAACAAATCTTTTAAACATTTTTCTTTTAAGCACCAATGATTTGGTTGGAAGAGCCTCATCCAGAGCTATTTGCACTGCGAGTTGTATCAGCTCAGGTCATTACGGTTACACTTCTCCTCCCTCAAGCAAATCAAAGAGGGAATTTCAACCCAATTACGTTAAAAGACTTTTGTAAAAACTATTTACCAAGTCATTAAGAAAGGACACACGGAGATGACGTGTTCCAGTTCATTAAGGATGGCAGGGAGAGTCACCAGCTCAAGTCCTACTCTCACATCTGCAGCTGCTCATGGTCTGACCTTGGCCAAGCCACTTTCAGTAGCTCAACTCATCTGCAGAACAGGAATGGCACCATCTTACCTTCCCCAAAGGAGTTTGACTGAAGCAGGTAATTAGCTAACAGCTAAGGAGTGATTAAAAAATGTAAAAGCACTGTATTTAAGTCTGAAAAATTATTTCCAGAAGGGTAAGAAGTTTACTTAGCACACAACTCTGTTTTAAAAGTTTAGTTACTGACCCATATATCCCTTCCCCCCATGAACTTCAACTGCTAACCATTAAGTTAAAGATGAAAAAGAAAAACCAGGCTTCTAATTAAGAAAATGAAAAACAGGAAAGCCCCTATTGTCTACAACATCTGATCTCCCCAAATAAATACTTTAAAATTTCTTCCTCCCTGTGTCAGCAAGCAAATTTGCACTTCAGAATCCCAAGAGAACCAAGCGCTATCAAACCAATAAAAATAAACAGCAACCACCAGGTCTGCTCACAACATAAAACAAGAAATCATTTCTCATCCAACTAACCTCCAACTTTTTATATTTCCAAAGTGACATAGCACATAAAGAGAAACCAAAAAGTTACTGCACATTTTATGTGGTTGGCCTCAAAAAGGGACCAGAAAAATCCCTGACACTACAGATGAGGTGCAATCGCTGCCTCAGGAAGCAGAGGAAGAGAAAAAGCAGAGACAGCAGCAGAAACAAGCTGAGCCACAGCCACTCGAGCATCTGGAAAGAACTAGACATGCTTGGGACTCAGTTCCTGATGTTGTCTAACTTAATTACCAGGCAATAATTACCAATCAAGATGCCCATCTACACGACCAAGTTTAGTCAGCTGTGACATTCTCTGCACCTACAGACATGACTCATTTGACTTCAACTCACAGCACTGGGAGCTCCCCACCTCTCATGCTCACACAGCCAGAGCCTGATGAAGCCTAACGAGGCCAATTGGAGAAGAATATCTTTCAAAACACTCTGAACCTGCAAGAATCTGGTTAAAATGTAAGCAAGGGGCAGTCCTATTAACTAGCACAAATAAATCAGGTTAATTCATTAATTAAGAGAGAACAGTTAAATGAATTCTTGACTTGATGGAGACTTCAGTAAAAATCTAACATGCCTGCAATATTCATCTATCACTGCATTGACTCCTAAATTAGATCCTTCAATAGGGCAAGCTGTTTGCTCTGCTGGACAAGTTCAGGGAGACGAGTCTAATGAAAAACCAAGTAATGAGATCATAAGGAATTCCTCCTTCCACCACCCCTTTCAAAACACACCAGGGAAAAGTGCTGCCTTAGCTAGGCGAGCAGCTTGCAACAGCTGCAGCTTCCAGGACACGGATACCTTTGGAAAGGTCACCTGGATCACCTTTCAAAATAACCCTGCGCACAGGATGCACGGCAAAGCCCGCTAATTTGTCAGGCAGCACTGAAGGAATACTGCAGTGTCCTGAAGAGCAGCATTTGGAATACTTGTGTCCAGTTCTGGAGCCCCCAACATAAGAAAGACATGGACCAGTTAGAACAAGTCCAGAGAAGAGCCACCAGGATGATCCCAGGGCTGGAGCAGCTCTGCTGTGAAGACAGGCTGAGAGAGTTGGGGCTGTTCAGCCTGGAGAAGAGAAGGCTCCGGGGAGATCTTATAGTGGCCTCCCAGTACCTGAAGGGACAACAAGAAAGCTGGGGAAGGACTTTTCATAAGGGCAATTAATGACAAAACAAGGGGAAATGGCTTTAAACTGAAAGAGGGGAGTTTAGATGAGATATTAGGAAGAAGTTCTTCACTGTGAGGGTGGTCAGACACTGGAACAGGTTGCCCAG